ATATAATAAAAGTTTACAAAATACTAAGTGGTGAAGAGAGTAAATAGGGATGCAGTATTTACTTTCTCTCTCAATACAAAAACTAGGGGTCATAACATGCAACTCAGAGGTAGTAAGTTTAAAAACTACAAAAGGAAGTTCTTTTTCACATGGTGTGTAATTAAAGTGTGAAACTCATTGCCACCAGATGTGGTGGAAGCTGACAGCTCAGCTTGATTCAAAAAGGGATTGGACACATTCTTGGAGGAAGAGTGCATTGCTTGCTATTGAGCATGGGAGTGAGTGGTATAGCTCTGAATCAGAACTTCCTAGGCCAGGGGTTGTCAGCTGGGGGTATGAGTACCCCCAGGAGACTTGACAAGGCTCTAGGGGGTATGTGTGGGTGGGCAGGGATGAAGCACTGCCACGCACTATTCCTTGCTGCTGTGCATGCGCTGCCTGCCCAGCCAGATGCAGAGGGTAGGGGAAGGTCACATGCGGTGACTGCTGCCCCTTTGCATCTGGCCAAATGCCACCCTCCTCCCCGCTCTTGTGGCTGCTGGGGGTACACTGCTTTGCATCCAGCCGCTGGGGGTACACTGATCCAAAAGGATTGAAAACCCATCCTAGACCTTAAATAACGGGTGGGCGGACCCCATTTCCCAGCAACCCCTGCCTGCGTGGCTGTGGCCAGTTTCCACGGAGACCCTGGCAGCAGCCATGCTGTGATAGCATAAGGTTGCATTTCCGTGGAAACTGGCAGAGCATGCGGCAGGGCATGGGACTGCTATGCAGCTGGGCTGGGTTCTTGCAACGGTCTGGAGCCAGGGCAGAGCTGCAATCACTGCCTGCACGCCTCTGCCCATGGCATGCAGGCTGCAGATCATGGGTCTGCCCTGGCTCTGGACCACACTGTTACCACTGCAAGATCCCAGCTTGGCCCTGGAGCAGCTCTCTGCCATGCTGCATGCCCTGCCAGCAGGGGCAGCACCAGGGAGAGGTTGGGGGGGCTATAAACCCCCCCAAATTCCCTGTAGCCACCCCTTCCAGTGCTGCTGCTGCCACTGCCCACTCTTCTCAGCCCCCCACCAGGAAGAGGCTGGCACTGCTGCCGCCTGCCAGCGCTGCTGGGGCCGGTCTCCATGGAAACCCCAGCCTCGCGGCCGTACGCTTTCCCATCCAGTTCCAGCCCTAGCTTTGTACCTTGCAGGGCCCCCTCCTCAGGGATGCTCTGAAATAAGCTGATGCACACTTGCTGTGGCTGATTCACTGTTATGCAACATTCCCAGAGGGCGGTAGGGCTTCTGATGGGGTTGCTAGTGATGGTTTATTCCTAGCTTGGGGAAGCACAGACTAGTTTGACATAGTTCAAGAGCTCCAAGGTAGAAACGGGCTCCCTGCAATCGGGAGAGAAGTGCCTTTAACTCAGGAACTGACAATACGTCTATCACTTTGCATTACACAGGCACCAGAAGAAAAGAAAAAGGCATACGCTTCTTGGAGTGTTGTTCTGAGTCACCCTGCTCTGCCATTCACCCGAACCCACCCCCCTTTTTTAAAAGCAACGACTCATCTTTGCACTGATACCAACCAAACCAGTCTGTATCCCCTGCATTTTAAAAAGCATCGAGCCACTGTCTTCAAATTCCCTGTCCTTGATTTCAAGTCTGACTGGAATCACATGTCATTTTAACTCTGGTCCCATTCAACAAATATCTAGTGAAGTCCTATTAATTTTCAATTAAACTTCAAGTAAACCAATTAGCATTTTCATTTCTACAGAGCCACAGAGGCAGAATGCGTAATGAGCCTCCCCCCCTTGTTCACAGAGGAATAAATGGCATGGAGAGACTCCTCGGTGCATCTTTCCTTACAGACTATTGCCTTTTTCCTGCCTGCCTCTTGGAGGCATCGGATGGGATTTCTTTAGGTGCCTGCAGCCCTATGGTCTCTCTTCTCCTCCTGTACCTTTGATGCCCCACCAGTCACTGCTGGTACCAAAGCTGTGCCCTGAAAGCATGATACCCCCATGCTGGGCATTGCACAGCCTCCACCCCTTCTGGCAACAGGCTCAGTGCAGGCTTGGACTCAGCATTACCAGCTCTTAAATATGAAATTATCATATTAGAAGCTCAAAAATTATCATATGTGCTGAAAAACTATCGTACACTGAAACATATGCAAATAAGTATGCAAATAAGTATTTTTCTTATTTACTTTATATTGCTAGTGAGTGGGTGAGAATGGAGTTATCAAAGTTGAAGCACTTCTTTATTTCAAGGCAAGCAGTCATAAGACAGTGTTAACAGCAAACCCAAGTCAGTTAAGACTTCCTGAGGGTGACTTGGGTGTTGCATTTGCCACACTAATTAGCTGCCTCAACAATTATCGCACAATTTGAACACTTTTACTATATTACTTGATGGACATCATACAAGGGTGGAAATTCCTGGGCATATATGATAATTATTATTGTCCACCTGGCAACACTGGTTGGGCTTTCCTCACAGCTGCTGCCTCCTTCCTGCGTGCACCAGGAACAGCTTGCTAGCGTCCGTGCTTCTGCAAAAGGTAGCGCCCCTGCTCCAGCAAGCACCTGACATGCCTCTGCTCACTCCAGCCTTGAACCTCTGCTAGGGCTTGAAAGCCACTGGCCTCATCCCCAGAGCTGCTGCCTTGCACAGAGCCAGCCCAGCGCTCTCACTCCTGCGCGTTGCCTAAGCCATCTGCAGCCAGGGACTTCGTTAGGGCCTTGCCTCAGGTGCAGCCGGCACAAGGGCTCGGCAAAGGGCTCTCAGGCTTGCGCTGACCCTCGGCTCCCTGCTCCATCTCCGCGGTGCATTGATCCTCGCAGCAGCCCCATGGGCCCTACTACGAGATGGGGTGTGTTAATTGAACACTCAGCGTCTCACAACTGGGCGGTGGCACCTCAGGGAGCATGTTAGCCTCTCAGTAGATGGTGCTTCAAACCTTGCGTGGTACAGACATTCAAAAAGCCCAAGGCTCTAAGTTACACAGGATTGTGTAAACAGTACAGTTTAGTACCTATGGGGTTTTTTTTTAATTTGGGATACCTTTCCTTTACTTCGTTGTGTACTTGTGGGGCCTGTTGGCCAAGCTTTCAGGCTTAAAGTGCCCTTCTTCATACTGAGCCCAGACCTGGAGAAGGCCATGGAAACCTTGTCCAAATCTCTACCAACTGTACAGTTGGTCCAGTCAAAGGTGTCACAGGTCCCCAACCCTTCCTCACCTGATATATTTCTGGGGCCGTCGAGGCTCCAGTAACACTCGCCCTGTTGCACACTGATGTCTTGCTCAGTACTCAGACAGCCTCTGTCAAGGGTAAAGCCTCAGGGGTGCAGGTTGTAGCTGTGCTGGTCTGAGGCCACATGCAGACCAGGTTCTTTGGGTAAATCCGATATCTTTTATTAGAGCAACTCAAATTTTTGGGAGAATTCTTCTTTGCACGCCTGCAGGTACAAATACCCTTCGTCAGGCAGAGGAAGCATCTGCAGGTGGTCTGTCAAAAAAGAAGGTTAAAGCCGGATACTTAGCTAAGAGATTGAGTCCATTCAAAGAGAATATGATTCAGTTAGGGTTTTTGGCAGACCTGTGGGAAGCACACGGGCAAGGTGTCTGCCCTGCTCATGAGCTTCAGCTCTTGTGACATGAATGTCCAGCTCCATCAGCAAATATGAAGGAGAAATGGCAGCAACTGGCATGAACCCAAGTGTGTGCTCCTAAGAAATGATCTGTGCATTGTTTCTCTTGACCTGTAGTAACCTTATCAAGCGCTTCTGAGGAAAGTGGATTTGTGATGGCCTTGTATGTTTTCCCCCACCAGCTCCTCCCCTGTCCCGCTCAAAAAATCACAATTTTTTCAATGTTTCTAATCCACATCACAGGATTTTTTTTTTTAACTGGGAGGAGGGAGAGGGAAGGAGAACTTTGGTCTGAATTTCATGGACACGGGTTTGTGAATGCAAAGTGGTTACAAGCGTTGCAAAAGTAATCTGTAAAATGCTGAGTCCCGTGCAGTTCTTCCATATGAAAAGCTGTGTGTGGGGGTTTTTTTATGTCACAACAGATGAGACAGGACTGTATCAGCTGCAACGCCTTTTACGCTCTAGGTCCAGCCAGTCCTGCAACATTGAGGAGCCTGGAATTTAAAAAGTGACTAGTGATTACCAGGGCTTGGGATCTGAAAGAAACATCTGTCTTCTGACATTCAGATCCTTTGAAGACGTAATGCACTGAGTGCCCAGAATTGCTTATCATTTTTGAAAATGTAGGGCAGCAAATGCAAGCCACCTGAAAGCAGGTCATACCATCCTCTGCTAACAGACGTTGTCTTGCAGTATGTCAGTAACTTTATCTGCCACTTTTATGTAATTTCTCTTATTTTGTGAAGAAAATATATCTGCTGAATGGGAGGAAGTAAATATAGAAGACACCAAGGTTTTTATAATAAAGCTATCATCCCCAACAGATGCTGACACAAAATCTGTTTGTCTCATAAGTGCATCACCAGTATTGCTTCAAAACCATGCACAATATTTAGAAACAACGCTGTTCCTAGACAAAGGCCTAATTAGGGTCCCTGACTGTTTTCCAAAATGTTTTGTGAGTCTGAAAACAGAAGGGGGGAAAAAAACATTGCGTGTGTGTTTTGACAAGCTCTGCGAACACACAGCATGCGAGCCTCTGCCACGTGTCTGTGATTCCAACATGTCACTTCACACCACTGTATTTCTGGTCTTGCTTTCTGTTTATTCACTTCCACCGGAGAACAGATTGTGCTCATTTCCTCTTGGGGTTGTTGGCACTGACATGGCCCCAGGCGGATCCTGTGCTTAGGAGGAAAGGAAAGGGTTAAGGTGCAGACTTGGAGCTGAAACCACTGCAGCTGAGACTCATTAGGGCCCTGATTAAAAAAAGCTTTCTAAGAGGGTGTGCGGATTGCTGTGCATTTATGATGAAGTAAAGGCAGGGGTAATCTGGTCATTTTCTTAAACTTTTGGAGGGTTTTTTTTCCCATTTCTTTCTCTTTTTGGGGAAGAGACTACCTATTGGTGTTTGGATGAAGTAGTTTGGGCAGTGGGGCTTTTCTCTGGGTGGGTCTCAGCCTGTTTGTAAAGTTCTGGATGGGAAAAATAGTTTGGGGAACTTCCACAGTTGCTCTTCTCTGACACTCAAAAAGCATATCAAGCCCCTCCACAGCAAAGAAGAAATAAGCAAGCATCCTCCCTTGGGTAGCCAAGGTTCATGTCTACTAGCCACAAGCCTGATAACCAAATAACATTACTAGGTGAGCTGTAATTGTGAGCCCAAAGGCTGAAAGTGCGGGCTCTGTTTGAAAAGTGCAGCCTCTTGCCAGGAGCTCTCTTCAGAGGTGTGCAGCCTGGATGCCAAAAGTATTGTGTTAGAAGAAAAAATCTTAATGTAAAATTATGGAAATGAAAAGGTTAGAAATGCTGAGGTGACTGGTGCTCCATTCTTAGTTTGGGGGGGGGGGGGCTTTTTTTTTTGTTCATTGTGGTTATTTTCTTCAAGTGGCGTTTGAGTTCCTGAGTAACTTAAGCACTTCTGACAGTTTTGCAATCTAAAAGCCAAAGCAATGATGATAAATCCTCAATGCATTTTCAGCTCATAGGGTCAGAGTTGCAGTTGGCCTACTTAAGTGTAGCTCAAAATAATGGAGTTAGATTATGCCACTGCCACCTCAGGATCTGGTTTGTTGCCATGACTCAGTATTTTCTGGTCTACCAATGCAAAATCTACACCTGTCTTGCAGAGGAAAAAGGAACTTTCTCGTAGTAAAAGGCATGTACCCTGTAGCACAGGTAGTTTCTTACCATTTCACTAGTCTATTCAGTGCAAGGTCATGGTAGAAGTCAAACCCAGGTTTTTTGTGTACCTTTTTTTGGTGGGGTTGAAAACATGCCTGGTGTAGCACCATACACATCAAAGCCAAGAAGTTAGCAACTGCAAGGAGGTGGCGTCAGTGCTAGCCAGCTTGAAAACCAAAATCACATCAAAATAAAAATTCTTCATTTAAATCTTTACAGATGCCAAGTTAAGGAGAGGCCTTGAGTTGTAAAGCAGTATGTAGTAATAATAAAAAAAGGCACTTTTGCATTGCAAAGATGTGACTGATTGCTAATGAGCTGATAGTTGCTATGCTATTCCAGGTCCTGTTAGTAAAAGCCTCTTTTCCTGGCACCTATAACTCTGGGCATGCATCCAAAAGACTCATGCGTGGTGCATGCCACTTGGTAGGTGTTCTGGGCAGGTAATGTAAGCCTAGTGAAATAAAACATAATCCGTGGCAGGGGGCTGCATGGATTTTTTCTGTTGGTCCATCCATGAAGCCGTAGTTTGGTTCAGTTGCGTTGTGTTTTCTAAGCAGTTTTCCCCCCTCCTGTTTTCTGTTCTGAGCAAAGTAAGCACATTCTCGACTAAAAATTTGGGGTTTCTTCGAAAGGCACCCAACATTTGGTTTCCACTCATTCCTGCCAAAGTAACATGATCATTCTCAATGTAATTTTTCCTGATTTATGCCCTTTGAAGTGAGAAAAGAATAAGGTCCCTTCTTTCAAGAAGGAAATCAATCCATGGAAATCCTTTTACAGAATTCTTTTAAAAAGTTGTAGTAAAAATGGCCATAAGACTTGCTAATGTTGAAGCATATAGCATGGCTTTACAGATGGCAGTCCTCCACTGCTGATTCTTAGTAATTTTTGATTTAGGTTCTTTTGCATCATTTATGGTAAGCTTTGAAAGAAGTTCATAAGGGTCTCTTTCTTTTTAAGTGTTTCTCTGATAAGCACCTAACTCATTTCTGCTTACAATGACTTAGTTGTGAAGAATAAAATGTCACCCAGTGTTATGGAAGTACAATAGATTCTTTTAACAATTACTACTATAGGATGTGTATCTTGCAGTTAAATAGAGCGTTTAACGTTTTTGACAGAAAGCTTTTTTGTCAAAAATGCCCATTAATTTAAATTTTTAATTTTCTGCTGGAGCATCTTCCTTCTGATACATTTTTTGTTTAGAAATATTGAAAAAGTCCCTTTCAGCAGTTTCAAGAAGTAACACTTAAATTTTTGTTTTGAAAAAAAAGGCCTTTTGTTTTCAAATATGTTTTGTCAAACGGTGCAAGGCAAAATTGGAATGACTGTTTGGGGATCTCAAAATAATTGCTTGCTTTCTTTCTTGCCTGTGATTTCCCTCCCCCCTCCATCTTCAAATTTCTTTTTTTCTGGGCAATGTTGGATTTCAATTTTCTCTTCCAGTTAGGAACAAAGAATTAATTTTGTAACTGTTTATTTCCCAAGAAACAGAAATTCTGCCAAGCTACTAGATTTAATCAAGTTAATATGGGTTAGTAGCAAATTGCTATTCTCTCAGGTGAGTAGAGAGAGCCTGTGTTAGACTTCTGCTTTATATCAATAGGGAGGTAAGTATGTAGTTGACTGTCTGAGGCCTGGTTCTCTCTGTGTTCCTCCTGCATAGCTGGGGATGACCTTTCTATAGGACTTGGTGGCAAAGCAGAAAACCAGCTCTGGGTCTAGACACAATCATTTATGAAAAAGAGGTTTTGCAAAACAGTACCAATAGAAGTGCTTCCATGACTTCTCAGCATGGGCAGAATATATCTTCTGTTATATATAAAGCATAGAGATTGGACATGTATTATATGTAATAAGTGCTGAGATTTTTTTTGTATAATGAAACTGGTTGAGGATACTACCAAATATTACTGCTTTAGAGCATTAACCAGTCTGGCTAATCTTGGCATTTCTCCTTGGCATGTACCTGGAATCCAGTGGTAACATCTGGAGTCCAGATTCTCTAACTAGTACTTTGTCTATTTTTGTTTTGTTCAGATTAAATGGAGTACATAATGCTACTGTTTTGATGGCGTAGTGTTTCTCACTCATTTGTCAGTGATTTGAATGCCCATATTATGTGTATGCCCATGGAGAATTAGGCTTTGAGTAGCCTGCTTTTAAGAAGCTGCTATAATGTGTCTCCTAAATTATACACAGGTATTATTATTTATTTGTTACAGTATTTTGCAATGATGCCTTGAGCCACCTAATAACATTGTTGTGAACTCTGTTTGGATACATGATTAGCCATAATTATTATTTTTTGTAATTTTGAACCACTTGTTTGTCCCTCAGTGAAAGCATCTGCACAATTATAAATGTGAATTATTTCACACTTGAGTTAACTGAGGTGCAGAAAAGTTGAGTATATTTTCCAAAGTTTTGGCGACAGAGCTGAGTAGAAAACACAGAAGTCCTTGCTTTCAGCACCCTTTTCTAACCTTTAGAAAACAACATAATAATCT